ATATATAGGCCGGGGCTAAACCTTAGCCCCGGACCCCTAATGTCAGTTCAAGTCTGGGGGAGCGATACCATTTAACTTGACATTTAAAAAAAACACTTGGATTATATTTATTTTAATTTAACAAAAACTTTTAAAGTGGATTTTTAAATATACAATACTACTGTGTTGTTTTAAAAAAATGATAAGGTATAGATCAAACCCCTTCTAGCATCACTATTTAATAATTTAATTTCTTAAAAAGGCCTCTACTCCCCCCCCCCACCAAGATAGTTTAAAGCCACTAAGTTTCATGCCACGCAACTGTGTAGTGCATATTATTACCTATTGTTTCTTTTTGAAAAAAATTTGTTTTCACAAATTAATAATTAGGCAGTATAGTAACATTGATTATAAATACTATAAATAGCTCACTGCACGTGTAGTGTTTATAACGCATGTATGATCCCCACCAACTACCCGGTGTTAACGTGATCACGTGGTTCACTAATCGAATCATTCATGACGCGCGAATAGTGTATGCCTATACAGTATATATAGTCCAAAGAAAGTTCCAGAAATAAAATATTCACGTTTTTTCTAGAATTCTCTATAGAGTATAAATAGGGTGCAAGATAAACATGCAATGATAGTATATTTTCACCTTTGAACGTATTAGTTTCTTCCATACTCAGTTTGTGTGAAACTATTTAAGTAATTATTTAATTTGTATATTTGTATACGATTATTTTTTTCGAAATGTCCGAGTGTCCCATACATAAATTTATTGACGAAATTCATCTACGTCCAGCTATATGGGATTCCATGTCAAATGAAAGTTCTAATAAACAACTTAAAAGTAAAGCATGGGAAGAATTGTGTTACATATTTTTTGAAAACTTCGACCAAAAAGAGACACCCGAAAAAAGTGAATGTAGTAAGTATACATTGTTTTATTAATATTGTGTTATTTAAATACATTTTAGTGTAAATTATGATTTTCTTATTTTTTTAAACATAAACAAGTACATTTTAATTTTCTTATTTTTTAAATATTATTAAATATACATTATTAAGTTTAATTATTTATAGTTTAAAGTTTAAACTTAAAATATGGTAAAAAAAATAAGAATAACAAAATATAATTTAATATTAAATATGTGTGTATTGCCATGGCAATTCTCCTTCTGGAGAAATAAAATAATCTGCAAATTGATCTCTAATGTCATTTGCTGTTCTGCCTCCTAGAATAGTGAAAGATGGACTATGCATTTCATCAAACCCATTAACTGTCAGTATAACATCAAATTGCACTCCATCCCTTTCTCTTACGAAGTTATGCAATACACAGCATGCTTTGACAATTTCTTCTGTAAGTTCCATCGAAACGTTTAAAGGTCGATGAAATATCCGCCATTTATTAGTTAGTATTCCAAATGTACATTCGATGTACCGCCTTGCTCTGCTTAGCCGATAATTAAATATTTTTTTTTTTACCGACAAATTTTTACCACCAAAAGGACGTAGAAGTTTTGTAGAGACACCAAAACCTTCATCACCTATTAAAACATTTGGCAAAATTGGAGCTTCTGTAAATGTTAATGGTTGGTCTTCTGGTATATTTAATACATTATTCATAAGTTTTTTGTAAAAAACAGAGTCTCTAAATACTGTCGAGTCAGCACATTTTCCAAACGAACCAATATCAACAAATGTGAAATTGTAATGGCTGTCACAAACTGCCATTAAAAGTATCGAAAAATAATTCTTATAATTATAAAACAACGATCCACTGTCAATTGGTCTTACAACTCTGATGTGTTTGCCATCAACTGCACCGATACAGTTGGGAAAGTTGGCGTGCCTTTCAAATCCTTGTATAATTTCAACCCACTTTTCTTTTGTTGGTAGAGACATACATAAAAGTTTTAAATATTCCCAGATTGCAACGCATACTTCATTTACGATTTTTGAAATTGTTGATACTCCTAATTTATAACTAAAATGCAAGTCTGTAAATGTACATCCACTTCCAAGATACCTATAGACATATTTAATACATATGATACAGACATGAAATCATATTACCTAAATTATGTTATAAAAATTAATACATCATATAATATTTTTTTTTGTTTTTCGTTTTAAAATTTTATATTATCATTAATCAAAATTATTTATAATCACAGAATGATATTAAACTAGTATTGCTGACTGTTATATGCTTATTTTTGAAATTAATATACTAGTTAAACGTATGAAAATTATATGAATAATAAATAACTTAAGATTTACTTATGTCAAAAAGAATATTTAAAAAATATATATATTAATTGTTACATTGTTAGGTATATACGTATACATTTACTCCAAAACAATATTGATATATTAAAAATTACAAAACAATTTGCCACTTGACTTAAATTAAAGTTTTTATCATCAACATTTTTCTAAAAATTAGATTTACAAATTTGCTATTTTACATTTTTCCAAAAGTAAAAAAAATGAATTAAATTTAAAATTTTTATCCCCAGTAAAAATAAAAATAAATAACCAAATATGACCATCTGTTAGCAGTATAGTTTATGATTTATACTGAATAGTGTTTCCTTATTAAAACTAATTATTTAATTAACAATTTTCAATAAAATAGTGTATTTGTATTATTTTATGTAGCTCGTCAATTACAAAGAAAATGGAAAAGCCTTAGAGATTCGTACCAAAGAGAGAATCTCTTACGAAAAAAAGAAAAAGCATCTGGGTCAGCGAAATCAAACGAAGACAGTATGTATATTTTGACCAATTGCAGTTTTTGGCTCCAAGTATTACTAACAAAAATACTACTTCCAATTTTGATGACAACTGTACCCAAAATATGGTTGAAGGATCTCAGGGAACATACCAGGACCAAAATACACAAAATGAAGAGGATATTTGTGTGGATGAAATAAATCAGTCAGCTTCAACCCAAAATTCTAAAGTATTCAAAAGGAAAAAAAATGAAATTGAATCAATTGAACTTAAATTACTTGACACTATGAATAAACATTTTGAAAAATCAAATTATAATCAAGAGAATAAAACTGTAGATACTGATGATGAGGATAAGCTATTTTGTCTCTCTATAGTTAAAGAGCTCAAGAAGATCCCAGAGGATTATAAATTGGATGCAAAAACAGATTTATTACATACATTAAAAAAATGGCAACAATATTCAGCTTTATCTCATGTTCCACAAGTGAATAATTATCAGTATCAAGTTCCTACTGTTCCAAGTATTTACAACCCTATTCATCGATATGCTGTGCCATCATCTGCCCACTCAAGTACACCAAGTGAACAATTGTCACCAGAAATGATTCATCAAAATGATTCATATTAAAGTATACGTATAAATTAGTTGTATTTTGTAATGTCATCAATAGGTAGTTATTAATTATTATTTTGTAAAATAATAAACTTTCATACCTTAACGTAACTGCTAGTTTTTCATTTGGAGGAATACATAGCCTCATGTTAGTGTCCATGGCTGATATATGTGGCGTCAACAGAGTTAACAACTCGTCAAAAGAATTAGGTGACATTCGAAAATAATTAAAAAATTTTTCGCGATCACATTTTGAATCATTGAATAAAACATAAAACTGACCATTAGTTAATCTTGAAATGTTTAAAGGATGAACCCAATATCGACGGTTTTTTTTTCTTCTGCGTTCGCGAAGCACACGCAAAACTCGAACAACAAAATATGCGTATACGTTTTCATCCATCGTTATATCACCAGATTTTCTACTGCGTATACAGTAACGAACTGTCATTGAGCATGCCATCAGCCGTCCTTTTTATGCTCCAGGGAATGTTCTAGAAATACTTAAATAAAATATTCCAGAATATTCTATTTTTCGTTTGTGGTGTGGTCCGTATGAAATAAACGTACTGTTTCAATGTATCACTAACTGTGGCGCCACAAACTGTGGTGCGATTTCTAGCGAGGACCGACCACATAAACCCGTCTGTGGCACCACAATTTTGTGGCGACACACCATGTGAAAGCATCATTTAAAAATAATGTATTTTTATCAGTGGCGCCACTATGTCTTTTCTGTGGCGACACGTAAAGTGGCCCGTGTGAAACGAGCCTTAGGACA